AACCTTCACCCTGCGTTGCCGGGGGCTTTCAATGGAGCGGTATGTTCTCTTGTTGCATTCTTCTCCACTACGTCTATTAAGCTGTGGGTACCCTCCTCGAGGAATGATATGATTAACTTGCAAACCCTTGCAGCATGCAATTGAACGGGCCCATGCCGCCTGGTTAGAAGGAAAGATCGACAAGACAGGGGTAATGATTCACAAGGTGATCTCTGAGGTTGATATGGGCACCCCTATAGTTGTACGAGAGATCCCATTCGTCAAGGGAGAGGATGAAAATCTTGAACACTTTGAAGAAAAGGTCCATGCTGTTGAATGGGGGGTTGTGATTGAAGGGGTACAGCTTACAGTCGATGAGATAAGAAAGGAAAAGAAACATGGCTCGACGGAAGCATAAACGAGGCTACTACAACAGGGTTAAGAAACAAAAAAACAAAAAGAAGCGGTCTGGTCTAAGATGACTAGTCACAGCTATACTCTTGGGGGCAATAATTTATGGTTTCAATCAAGGATCGAATGATAGCAAGGGTCTGGCGGTATGGTGACGACTTAATTTATACATCCATACGTGTTCTCTGGAAGTGCTAACGGAAAAATATTCCAGATAACGCCCTGTGATTAAAGTTTTAGCCCCCCAAAAAGAATCTAATGAAGTTATAAAATGACTCGTAGACTTTCCATCAGCGGAGATCATTCGGATTCGGCCGCAACTTGTCGAATTCAAAGTTCGACTTTACTATTCTACGGCCGTTAGTACCTAAGCTAAGATCTGTCCGACGCTGAGCCACTGTGTGACTGGCCTTGTGGACGATGGCCTTCTGGGACTTGATTATCGTGGAATGCCTGCAGATCAAGTTATACTCTATTGGGATGGCGAATGCACATCAGGCCCTATGAGTATGCCCTTACCTGGCCCGTGCCATACCATCCTGTTCATGGTTTCCACGGATTCAGCGTATCGACTAACTTCCTCACCAAAGGATAGTGGGAGGTACTATTGAACGACTCTGACAGTTTGACTCGTCCAGAATAGTGATCTAATACTTTAGTATTCCGTCCTTCTCGGGGTTAATCTCATAGTGGATTAGAGAGACTCCGCCACTCAGCCCAAAGCAATTAAGGGCCGGACTCGGGGGGATGGTTAGGCCTATGATGTGGCCTCAACGGCTGGCCTGCATCTGAGCTAAGCCAGAGCGCATCCTATGAGGATCTACCCTGGATAGGAGGGCAACACTAAGTGGTTGATGGCTGGCTGATGTCCTCCTAGCGGGTTAGTCGCCATTTCCGAGAGCTTCTCGGATAGGACAGAGATTGAGCGCCAGGAATCCATCCCCATCTGATTAAATTTTGGTTTCACAACGCCATCGGAATGAACCAGCTGCAAGCTACCGGATTTGTGATATGGGGGCCATTGGATCGTCACGCGCACGACAGTCTAGGAGCTGATCGAGTGCTCATCCCCGCTTCTCCCCATCCTTTCTCCCCTGCTTTCCTTCCAGCTAATGATATCAGTTGAGTCAATACTCCCTTCAGCAAGCCAGCCAGTGTTACCTGGTTAAACTGTGCTGGCTTGGGCCCTCTTGGCCGAGTTAGACTCACTGGGCACTTTGTTTCAGATCGCTGGCCACGTAGATACCTGTGCGTCGTACAGTCTCATCCATGGATTGAGGCAACCCGGGATGAACCTCATTCGAGGCTGATCAGGCGTGCCATGGAGCAGACCAGATGGTAAGGTAGTCACGTAGAGTTTGGAGAGGGCCACAATCCGAGACCGTGGGCCCCCAAGACCAAAGCGGAACAGAAGTACGGTATTTTTTGACCGTCGGGAGTCGGGACATGTGCAATGTGCATACTCATAGAGGTATGGATGTCCTAGCCATTTCAGTAGGGAGGTCTTTGGGTCCATCGCTCACGGACGTGGAATGGTCCCCGAACAATCAATTCATTTCTTCCACGGGTCCCTTTCCCCATCTGGGGAGTCACCATAGGTCAGACATCAGATAGTCAAGCGCTTAGCTTGGTCCCCAGGGAATGTGAGTGGTAGTTGTCCGGATTTTCCATCCCCAACTGGACATGCTGCTCATTTCCTTACCAAGTAGAGAGGCCAATCCTTTTCTGTCTTCCAAGTGACGGGCAGCCTACCCACAGGAGCAATTACCTCCTTTTGGGCCATATGGTCCCCATAGGTTTCCAATCCTTGGTTACGATTTTCACTGGATCCGGCAGATAACCACGCCATTCAATTCGTTGGTACTTGGATAATTTGGGCCCTTTTTTTTCTTCTTCTTCTTTTCTCGCTCTTGTTTTTCCTACCTTTATTTTATTTTATTTTATTTTTTTTTATTGCGGGTTTGTGAAGATATCGTCCCACTTGGGTCCAATCCTCTCGTCACGAGCTCTAGCCAAGAACGTTTACGAGACGGTAAGAGGCACAAAAGGAGAAAATGAGAACGACCCAGATGCGAGAGGACAAGCTGGTAACTGCAGCTTTCATTCAGCAGTATAGACAAATACGAAGAAAGTGGATAGGATACGGAGTACAACTTGTGCAGAGAATTTCCATTTCCTGTACATAATAATGGATAGAACGAATACGACGTATAAGGGAAATGAACAATTTCTATTTGCCCCTGCCAATTGGACTGGTCCCCGGCACGAAACTTTGGCCGGGTGGGTTGGGTTGAGCAAGAGCGAAAGAGAGAAAAGCTGTCAAAACCCTCGATGTCGATCAGGAACGGATGTGTACCCGGTTATGCCGATTTGCTTCCTCGGCGGGTCAAGTTCCCTTCGTTGGGACTTCCACGAACAAAACTATTAATCACGGTTTCATCAAACCAGCGGAACCTCATGTGGTTGCCTAGGTGGTCGACATCATGAATGATTCCGGATAGCCTCATGATTTGACCTGCAGCGGACGGCGATCGCGATGGCGATCAAATGCAGCAGCTACTTTACAACCAACCACAAGCACAGGAAGGCTGCAAACACAGTTCACCAAATGTCTCACTGGCACTGGCGGTACAGATCGTGTGTGGCATGCCTACCCAGAACCACAACGGCTGTCAGATACCCTGCTCATAAGATTGACTTCTATAAGCCTGGATGATGGAACGAAAAAGGCTGCTCCACCGAACCACCATATGCCCGAAGTTGGGAGGACTAATACTCTTTTCCGTCTCCACTACTGGAACAGCGCGTCGGCAAATCCTGCCCAGTTAGTACTGGTTTCAACGAAGGGTCAGTTTCATATTTGCCGACGCGGCGAACGGCAAAACGGATGAATTCGTTTTAGATGCGACGGTTCTACGAAGCATTGGAACTTATTATCCACAACATTCCCCGAGAAAGAAGGTTGGGCGGAGTGCTCCGCGTACTGCAGAACGAACGGGAGGCGTTCCCAATGGGCCAGACCTCCAGCAGGGAAAAAAAAAAAAAAAAATTGTCAATGAAACTGCTATCGGCGTACTTGAATCATGTTCTGGAGCTGGAAGATATCAACGGCACTTGGTCGGCATTAGGTACATATGAAGCTGGACAAGCCTTGGCAGACATTGCCATATCTGGTCGGGGACCACTGGATCCTTTCAGTTCCCTGCACAGCCTTTCCACACGGCGTTCGTGGGTGGAATTCTTCCGCTGACGGATGGGCTGACTGATCAGAAAGCTCCGAAACAGTATAGATCTACCTAACATGAGCTCGGTTGCATGGCCATCCACACAGTCTCCATGGGGCTCCATGTTGCAATTCCTGGATGAATCAGGCCAATCAATCAACGCTTAACTTTCGGGACATAATTCCGCCGGGGCTTCTTTTTTTTTTTTTTTTTTGTTGTGAGCCTTGCCTTGGGCCATGGTTAACCTTTCTTGACTCTATTGTCCTGCATGTGTTTTCTCGGGCTAACTCGAAATGTGGCTGATTCATCAGGATCAGCATGGCGGATTACTGAAGGCAGGAAAAGAAGGGAAATCGAGAGAACAAGAGTGATTAATATATTTCCTACCAATAAACACGAAGAGCTAAAAGGAATCAAGTCGGTCTTTATTTCGCCCGTAAGTTCCGAGGGAGACATCATCATGACTTGTCTGCATCATGAGTGGAGAAAGGGAAAACAAGAAAAAAAAAAAAAAAAAAAAAAAAAAAAAAAAAAAAAAAAAAAAAAAAAAAAAAAAAAAAAAAAAAAAAAAAAAAAAAAAAAAAAGAAAGGTCAGAGAGGATAGGCAAACTAACGGCACATAATGGTGGCGGACGGCGAATTGTGCGCCAGTCCTTTCTTGGCTTCTCTGCATAAGAGGAAGAAAAGCAAAGACCACCTCAGCACCTATTTTGTTCTTTGCTTTTTCTCTCTTTCCTTCTCTATTAAGTCTTTCTGTTCCGTAACCCTTAGTCTGGTATTAGCATTTTTTTTTTTTGTTCTCCCAGTCTGAGGACCCCCTTTTTTTCTTTTTGACTTTTGACTCATGAATCATCTTATGCATGCTTCCCAAAGCCAAAGCCGCACATACCAACCCAAAGCCACTAGTGAGATAGCGTTGGGTCTCTGCCCCATAGTATGGGTCCCATTTTTATCTGTCCATATCTCAAGTCCTTCCGATGCCCCAGACTGTCTGAGGGGAGTTCAGGTGGTTCCTGCAATGACTGACAAGATAACTATATTGGTGCATCAGAAAAGCAAGGAGGCTAGGAGTAGGGGGAAATCAAGGGCGAAAAGCAACGCAAAAAAAAAAAAAAAAAAAAAAAATATTATGGCTGTATCAAATCCCGAAATGAACTGGATCTCACATGGGTTCGATCAATAGCCAGCTATGGAGGTTTAAGCCATGCTTCATAATAAAGTCATGATGCGTAGGGTAATGGTGGCCCTGAGGGATCTGCTGGTGCTCCATCATCAGAGACGCTCTAAAATTGGCACACATTCGATAGAATGAACTAGTAGAAGATCAGAGGGAGGGGAGTCGTAGGGATTTAGTGTTATATTATAGTATAGGATAGTGTGTATAGTGTCATTGGCATCGCTGGGACTCGAGATGGTTCGGAATTCCAATTAGGGCAACGGAGGCGGTGGTGAAGTCATTGTTCACCTCTTTCTTCTTCTGCTGCTGCTGCTGATGATTTTTATTTTATTAATTTATTTTATTCTATTTGGCTTTCTGATTTGATGGCTTTTTATTTTTATTTTGTTTCCCACTCTTCTTCCATCCTCCCCTTCCAGATCATACACACTAGTGATCCTTGGATTTGACTTTTCTTGACTCTCCCCATCAGTCTCACTAACGCCATTCATATCCATTCCTTCTGGTTGACCGGGACCATTTTGGTTGTCTTTTGATGTCTCCAGCGGAGTCACGATTTCCACTTCGTCCATCGTTCCGTTTCCTTTCTTTCCGTGTGTCCATCCTTCTCGAAGACGCTTGTTTCAACTCCCTCCCCCCTTTTTTCCTTCGGCATTATATATAATCAACCTATTTTTTTTTAACTTAATCCCTAATACTATCCGTCCGCCCTCTCAGTGAACATCCTCCTCGCCTGGATGATGAGAGTGACCAGAGTCTCCATCCTGCGGTGCGGACGAGCTCTGAGTTGATCAGACCATTTCTCTTCATGCCGATCTCGTCAACATCAATCCGATTGAATGCTTGGATGCAACTCACCTGGTCTCGGTCACTATGGCAAACTCATTTCCGCCATCTCAGACACCCTTAAACAGCTTTCTCTTGCATCCGTCACAGCGCCTAAACGAGCCGTCGGCGCTCTCCGCCTACTCCATCCTGGGTCCCGCACAATATCCGGAGAGTGTCGCTCTGTGGCATAACCCTCCTACCCAACCCCCCTCGCAGTCGGGCTTGTCAGTATCTGCCCCGCCTGCGTCATTTGCTCCTGTTCCGAAGTCACAGTCGCTGCTGCAGCCCATCCCAGACCAGAAAAAGCACAAGCGCACCAGAAGTGGCTGTTTCACATGCCGAGCCCGTCGGATCAAATGTGATGAGACCCGTCCCGTCTGCGATAGATGCCGGAAGGGGAACCGCGACTGTGTCTATCCCACTCCGGGCACGAGCGGCTCTATGGCCTCGGCCGGTTCCCGTTCCGGAGCTAAGGCCAAGGCACCTCGGCCCCAATCGCGCGGGAGTGATTCGTCTAGCCATGTGGAAGCAGACGACATTCACATCCTGGAACCCATCGCAGATGAGGACGAGGAAGAAGAAGGAAGTGTGGGGTCCAGTTCACGTTTATCGCCCTGCACGGGCCCGAGTGGGACAAGAACCAAGCTCGACCTGCGCAACAAACGCAGCGCACAATCTTTAGCCAGACGCAAAGCGAAGCAACAGTCACTCGTAATCCAAGCTGCCTCTGAAACTTCGGGATCTTATAGGGAGCCTAGTAGTTCACCGTCGACCGAGGCGTCCTTGAGGCTCGATTCGGCAAGTGTGCGGTCGGTCAGCGTCGGCTTGAACCCTTATGAATCCTTCGCAGTTCCCAACGCCGCCCATCTACCGGAAGAGGTGCGCTTCTATCTCGCGTTCCATCAAGGGTATATGACCCCACGTCATTATTTCATGAGGAGTGGCAGCCACCGGTTCGTTCATCAGAGTCTCATCGAATTAGCTCTGCAATATGACCCCCTTCTCTATGCCGTGGTCGGCTTCGCTGCGTACCATCATTGCGTTCAAACCGGAAACGGGAAACTGTATACATTTCTCAAATATTACAATATGGCATTGAAGATGTTACGGAAATCGTTGGGGTCAAGCGAAGAGCATTCGGAGGCGACACTGATCACCGTTTTGGTTCTCGCCACTTTTGAAGTAGGTTTCACCACCATGGTACCGCCATGATCATGCTTCCTCCCTTTTACCGCTCTTCATCTGTCTACTGAACCACCCTTTTCTTGCCCGGAGAGACACTAATTTGGAATCAACCAGGAATTCATCGGTGACTGGGTAAACCTGATCGACCACCATCAAGCCGCTCATGCACTGATGCGCGAGCTCTTAAGCCCCGAATCCATCGCCACAAACGAGCTCCATGGTCATATATTCCCTTGGTACGCTCGATTTGACGTGGTAGCGGGGATATTGGCCGGAAATGAAATGGTCCTGGGCCGGGAATGGTACATCGCGAAAGAAGACTACGATGCTCAACAGGCCGCCATATATCCAAAGGACGCGGACAAGCAGCTCAACTTAGCTGCATCGATTAATCGTCGATCCGGGCTGGAAATGGCGTCGTTGTATGCCAAACTGTCACGCGGGATGATTCCAATTGACGAGTTTATCTTGCAAAACGACCAGCTCGGTCAGCTCATCGAAAAAGTACGGGAAATCCTGGAGAAATTCCACAGTTCGGAGTACACTGTCTGGCAGTATCCAGACAGACAACCTTTGACGGAAGATGACATTGTTGACCCCTATATCCCTGGTGGCATGCATCGGGGCCCACTGTGGGATGTGAATGTAGCATGGATTGACTACTATGCCACCAAAGCGATGTACAAGTATCAATCACTACTCTCTGTGAGACAGTCCTCACCGTCAGAGTTGCAACACCTGGCGCTAGAGCAATGTCGACTGATCGAGGCCATTGAGCGGTGGCCGGAGAAGGAAAATGGATATCTGTTTACATATAAGAACAGTATTGGAATGGCATGCTTGTTTGCCCCTAAGGACAGTAAACATGCCATGTGGGGCCGAAAAAGGTTGGCGCTGTTGGAGCGTAACGGGTAAGTCATTCTGATACTTCTTTTCCCTTGGACAACAGGTACCACAGAAACCAGGGGACTGACCGTGCATTGGGCTGTAGGTATCTATTGGCCCCGAAGTTCCGGCAGCTATTGGCCACTGTGTGGCAGTCGCCAGAGATCAACCACTGGTGGCTCCCTAACGACGAAGGGTATCCGGATATCATCCGAGAGGTGCGGTCTATGACGGAGGAACGTTCTAATACCCCGCGTGATAATTTCCGCGAGAGTGTTCGTAATATGAGGTCATTGTTCTGGAATATCAGCTTGGATGACTCCTCGAGCTCTAATGATTCGTCCCCGTTGGGACAAGACCGATGAACAGGGTTGCGCACCTGAAGCTTCTGCATTACAATAACACTTTCGAATGCTCTGAGCTCACTCTCGAGTCCGCTGTGAATTGTGGCTCCTCAGTCTTGAAGACCAGCAGAAGGCTCTGTAGAGCACACTCATCAACCCTCACGACCACAATTGATACTTCGCCATGTCCGACTATAATCCAACATTTTCTGGACATTTTCTCTTGGCTTCCAGGGACTGGAGGCTTCCATACTTGGGAGGATGAACTCCATCCCAGCGAAACACCCCCTTGAACTGATGACCGGATGAGACGTCTTTTCCTTAGCCTCTTCACTTATTTTGCTTTTTTAATCCATATACCCACTGAGCGACATCTTATATTCGTGCATGACATGCATTTCAGTATTATTTTTTTGTTCGATCCTGGAGATGATCGGAACAAAGCAAAGGAAGGTCCTTTAAAAGTAATATTATAATAGTGGACACCGCGCTATTGGCAGCTAGGATACCGGGGCAATCGCTTATTTATGGATTTCATATCAGTTACTCGCATTTGCATACAGATATACATGAGATCATATATATACCCAATGGAAGCATGAGTTTGTCTACATTCAGTCGACAATGAAACTAATCTATCACGAATTCGTTTGAATTTTGATACCAACGCACACAATGTTCAGTAGCTGTAGTACAAGTCTAATATAAGTTTGGCCGGCGAAATAACAACAAAGTCATCTAAAGCCAGACAATCCCATTAGCGACAGTAAGCATAAATGTCAACCCCGAACCCGAACCTCCTGAGCCGGAACAACCGTCTCCAATCCACCCGCCAATTCCCCCATCCCATCCTCCCCATTCACATCCTCACCCCACGGCAAAGAATCAACATCGACCTCCCAACCAAGTAAACACCTCAGCACAACCTCTGCCCCAGCTTTACTCATCACCTCATTCATCTCCTTGCACCGTTCGTCGCAAACACACTCGATACATCCCTTCGGTGTAATACACTGACAGGCCTCGATCCTCGCCACCGCGCGTCGAAGGAGTACATCGACGAATTCAAACGCCTTTCCTGCAATCCCAGAGCCGCAGGACCCGCCCTTGGCGTCATAGAACGTTAATCGGGCGGGTCGTTGGCGGGCAGGAGGTCGGAGGATATTCTGGATATTCTCTTTCTCCTTGCTTCGGGCTTCGACGGCGACTCGGAGATTCTTGCCTAGCTCCTTTTTCGCGACCTTGCATTCTGTGCGCACGTCGCCCGGGGAGGAGATGACGAATGTGGGGAGTAGTGAGAGGACGGCGTGTTCGGCAGCGTGTATGGCAGCCGCAATGTTGAGGTGTCTTGATTCGAGGATTTCGAGGGCCCGTTTGGGTACGTCGAGCCACATGCCTTTGGTAAGGATATCGATGGGCGGGTTATCAACCGCCACGGCGTCGAGAACGCGGCCTCGTTTGTCGATCTTGAAGAAGCCGTAGACGACAGCGTGGATGCGTACGGCGCCGTAGAAGGCGCGCGAGCTCGTCGTCGGGCTAATCTGTCGAATGGTTTCTGTCTCGATGGGGTCAATGTCTGTGTAGTCGCGCTGCATGGTGTTCCAGTCGACGTGGACGCGGACGACGCGCGCAAACCGACTGTCGGGGTTGAGTTCCTTGACGAGGTATGTGTGGCCCTGGTGGAGGAAGATGCCGCCTTCGTAGATGGTGAAGAAGGCGCGCGACGCCTCGACTTCTTCGAGGACAATGTTTCGGGCGTTGGTGGTGTCGATGACGGCGAAGTGCTGGTCTTCTGTGTCGCGGATGGAGACGCAGCGGGATGGCTGTGGACGGAATCGTTCATGGCAGTGGTAGAAGCCCAGGGCGTCTTGTGTGAGGCGTGTGGCGGCGAATTCGGGGAGTTGTTGCCCGAAGTAGATGCTGTCTTCGTCGGGGCGGATGGGCATCTCGAATGCGGCACATTGGACGTGGCCCTCGAGGATGAGTTCGTTGGCTAGATCCACCTGCAACTCGCAGTTGGGTTTGGTGAATAGTTCTTCGGGGTTTTTCATGTAGTATTGATCTGTGGGATATCTGTCTCCGACAAGCACAGAGAGGGAATCCTTATTCCTGCGTCCGGCACGGCCGCTCTGTTGGCGTAGGTTGGAGATGGAATACGGGAAGCCGAGGGTGATGACAGCATCTAGAGAGCCGATATCGACGCCCAGCTCGAGGGCATTGGTCGCCACAATTCCCATTAGCTGGCCCTCAAACATTTCCTTTTCGATTTTTCGTCGATCCTGGGGACTATACCCGCCTCGATAGCCCATGACTAAGTTCCCAATCTCACGCCTTTCGAGGTTTTGAAATTCAGCCCGCACGGCCTGTAAGAGGACCTCACATAGCTTGCGTATCCTACAGAATGCTATTACTCTTGCGCCTCTCAGGATTAGCTGGCAGAACAGTCGTGCGGTTTCAGCGACGCTGTCTCCACGTCCTGAAGTAGGATCGCCAGGGTCCTTGAAGGGCGTGTTCCAGCATATGAACTCCTTTCGGCCAGAGGGAGAGCCGTCAAAGTCTATTAGTTTGACGTCTTCAACGCCGAAAATTGCCTTCATGTGGCCTTCAGGGTTTGCCACGGTAGCTGAGCATGAGATGAACCGGACGTGGCGGTTCCCTACAGCTGCACATATCCTGCGTAGTCGTCGCATGACGAATGCAACATGGGATCCGAAGAGACCGTTGTAGACGTGTAGCTCGTCGACCACAACGAATTTCAGATTTTTTAAGAATGTACGCCAGGCGCTCTCCTGTGGTAAGATGGTGATATGTAGCATATCTGGGTTCGTGAAGATGATTCGCGCCTCGTCACGAATCATATTACGATTCTCCATTGGTGTGTCACCATCGAAAGTCTCGACCATTGTATGTTGCAAATCCTCCATGTACTGCAGTAAATCTTTCATACTGCGTCTCTGGTCCTGGGCCAATGCCTTCGTGGGAAATATATACAATCCCCGGCTATCATGATCATTTTCCAGCTCATGTAGCATCGGAACCTGGTATATCAACGATTTACCAGAACTGGTAGAGGTAGAAATAATGACGTTATGACCCTCATACAGATGGTTGATTGCTTCCGCCTGGTGAGAGTAGAACTGCGTGATACCCCGTGTGTTATACAGGGCATTGACGAGATTCTGAGAAAGCCTAAACGCCAACTCCCCGTAAATAGCAGGCTGTGCGTCGATCACCCTATGGCCCTCTGGTACGATCTGTGCCGTATACCAGTCCATCTCACGGATCTCCGTAATAATGTCTGACATAGATTTGCGTTCCTTGGGGATCTGCTGCGGCGGAGCACTCGTCACAGGCACCGTATCACCATCATCTGGAGGTACAGGAATCCAAGCATCCTTTTCCCGTTCAAGTTTCTCAACCGGGTCAGTACTATCGTCTTCGCACTGTACTAAGAAGGTATCAACCGCGTCTGAGAACTTTTTATTCCGCTTCTCGATTAGCGCGAGCATCTGCTTCTGACTGTAGACTGGAATCTTCAGATCTTCATCCTTCAACTTGCGCATGGGTTTTGCGTCCTCCCCGGACTTAGATCGTTGAGTTTCCCTCTTCAAATCACCATCCACGAACTCGAATAACAGAGCCATACTCTGTGAGGATGGCTCCATATTACCATCGCCACCATTATCAAGCTCATACCTGCCATGCCGACCATAAGTCTCCACCATCTCCTTGTCCCCAACAGTCATCACTTCCAGTTTCGCCTCATCAACATACTCAAACCGGACCGCCCGCGGTACAAGAACCCTCACCCGCGCAATCTCCTCAACCGTCAATTCCTCGCCCATCTGCGCCTGAACCGCTTTCTTAATGTTCTCAAATGTTGTAGCAAAGTGCTTCCGCGTGCAGCAGAACGTGTATACTATATTCAGGGCGCGGTGCGTACGTGACAGTTTCTTGAATGGGTCCGGCCATGGTGCAGATGGAGTGCGTTTCGGTGGGGGCGTTGCTTTGGATTTGGGTCCCCTTTTTGCGGTCTTTTTGGGTGCCAGGATTTCATCGGAGGTATTGTTGGGTGTGGATATTGTTGATGAGTCTGGAGGAGTTGGATCTTGGGCTTTTCTGCGTCGCTTCGCTTTGGTTGGTTGTTCTGGGGTTATGGTTGTTGACGCGCCATCTTGGTCCAAAGGGTTCTCTTCGGCAGATGATTTCTTGCGCTTTGACACCGAGCTGGAGCGGTTTGTCTGGGAGTTGACACCGGTCATGTTGATATGCTACATTATGAAGTTTTCAATGTCCCTGGATGGAAGTATGAAGATTTGGGTCGGAGAAAACACGGGATCCAACGATCGTCTAGAGGCGACCAGACGCGGTGTCACGTGGAGATAAGGTTGCAATATTACTGGATTCGGGGTAGTGGGCTTTTGGATCTATAAAAGTTAGTCCTTGAGTACTCGAGTCTCTTCAAGAAATTGGCTTGTTAGCCATTGTGGTTAATCATTGGCAGTTAAGCCTCATAGTACAGTAGTAATAGGTAAGACTGATCGGATAAATCTGTAGACTCTATTTATGCACACCAGATCATCTTGCTGCATGCATGACTCAGACCCACTCAGAGTATGGTCTGCCTCTGAAGTTGCATAACTTTAGTACATACTCCTTGGTCATGAATATCTAGAGAAAGGCCCTGCAATTCATGGCACACAAGGTAATTCATGAGAGACTTACGTTCAAATGTCTGTCCAAGGTACAAGAATCAATGTACGGTTCTATGTAGTGTTAGGGCTTAGTGGTAGGATTAGGCTGGCTACCAGCGAGTATATATCAGTTGACTAACTAAAGAATAATCATTAGAGCTCTTATTGAGGCCTCTACTGTGCTGGGTGGATTTATCATGTCTTTCTGGCACTCCAAAGTACAAGACAAAGGCATCCCTATATAGAGCAGGGCAGACCTGAAGCCTCCAGTGTACCTGAAGTGAAAACTAGTAGGTCTTCGCGCTCTCGTCGCAAAGTTGCATTATATATTTTCTCACTTTACAACCCGGCGGTTTGTGTCTCATTAAGGAGTCGTGTCAATACTGTCTCTCATATGTAGCCTATTGAACTTGAACTGAGATGGAGGGGCTCGCTGGCAGGGATCTCCGCACATCACATGGCAAGTACATATACCTGGAACAAAAATATTACAGACATCTTCGCTAAGTCCATCATAACACCTCATACTTTAAACACTCACTCACAACCGGAAGCCCATTCTCATTCTCACAATGGGTGACTCTAACCTCGCCACCGCAACTCCTTCGACCTTGGGAAGTAATCGGCCAGGCCCTCACCCCGCATCGCAAGACCGGCCGGTAAACTTCCCCGAATGGGGTCAGCCTTCAGCCAGCGGATACCGCGTATCTGGCCACATTATCGGAGAACCATGGCCCGGAAGGCAGGGCAAAGCGTTCAAAGTGATCATGATGGGGGCCGGGCCTGCAGGGATCGACTTCTTGCACCACGCCCGGAAGGCCCTGGAAGACCTGAACGTGGAAATCAAATGTTTCGAGAAAAACGCCGATGTGGGCGGCACATGGTACGAGAACCGCTACCCTGGATGTGCCTGTGATATCCCCAGTGCCAATTATCAGTTTCCTTGGCGTCCGAATCCCGACTGGACTCACTTCTACAGTGGCGCATGGGAGATCTGGGAATATCTTAAAGGGATTGTCTTGGATGAAGGACTTGACGAGTACATTCAGCTCAATACACGGGTCGAGAAGGCTGTCTGGCAGGATGACATATCGCGGTGGGTTTTGACTCTGCGAGGTGCATATGATCAGGTGTGGGAGGCGGATTGCGATCTGCTTTTGGATGGAACAGGGCCTCTGAAGTAAGTTTCAGGGGGGTACAGGTGATTCGAGTCTAACATACATATAGTGCCTGGAAATGGCCGAATATACCTGGACTAAAGACCTTCAAAGGGCGCCTCTTTCACACTGCGCATTATGAGGAAGGATATGATCTGACGGGCAAGCGTGTAGCTGTCATTGGGACCGGTAGCTCTGGGGTTCAAACCGTCGCTTCAATTTACCCTCATGTAGCCAGGTTATACACCTGGGTGCGTAATCCTACATGGATCACGGCAGGGTTTGCTCAAAAGTATGCCGGCAAGGACGGTGCGAATTTCAAGTGTAAGTGACAAGCTTCTACCATAGCAGCTTCACGGTGCTCACAATGTTTCAGACTCAGAGGAAGATAAAGCCGAATGGCGTCGGAACCCAGAGAAGTACCTTGATTACCGCAGGCTGATCGAAGGCGAGCTGAACCAGCGGTATAAACTTGTGCTCCGAAATACTAAAGAGTCACATGAGGCCAATGAAGTGAGTCCAACACATCAGCCAAGTGGAGAACTTCACCTCTAACGAAGCCACAGTACGCATATAACGAAATGAGAAAGAAACTTGAGAGCAAGCCGCATCTCATCGATAAAATCATTCCCAAGAATTTCAACGTGGGCTGCAGGCGGCCAACACCCGGAAACGGGTACTTAGAGGCCCTAGTAGGAGAGAAGACCACTGCTTTCACCGAACCAGTGGCAAGTATCACGCCCAAAGGCTTCACAGACCAAGATGGAAACGAGTACGAATGTGATGTTATTATCTGTGCCACTGGCTTTGATACCTCAAATCGACCTCAATTTCCTATCTACGGACTCGATGGAATCTGCTTACAAGAACGCTGGGCTGAAGTCCCCGAGTCCTATATAGGAATCGCTGCTCCCAGGATGCCAAACTACTTCATGTTCTCTGGGCCCTTCACACCCGTTGCACAGGGATCCCTTCTGCCCATCATCACAAAGATGAGCAAGCATTGTCTGCAAGTTATCCGCAAGATGTACGTACAGCACATTCGACGTATAACTCCGAAGGACTCAGCCATTGCCCAATTCATGGAGCACTGCTGTGCATATCTCCCACGGACATGCTGGGCCGATCCATGCACTAGCTGGTTCAAGCAAGGGAGGTCCGATGGTCCCATAGTGATGTGGCCTGGCTCCCGTCTTGCATTTTTTGATGTGCTTAGTACTCCCCAGTGGGAAGATTTCGATATAGAGTATCATTCTGGCAATCGGTTCGGTTTCCTAGGGAGCGGGTTTTCGCATTGTGAATTCTCTATCGAGGAGCAACTGACAGCCTATCTGAATGTTGAGATGGTGAACGCCTTGCCTTACCCGGAGGTTAAAAGGTTGATAGAAGCTAACGAGATTGGGAAAATGAAAGAGAGGCCTCGGGCAAATGGCACATCTCCCTTGTTGCCATGACCTACCATTTCCACGCATGTCTCTTGGAGCTGATCTACCTTGCGGTGATCAGAACCTTGGATTGAAATGATAAATGATTGATGGATGTATTAAGAAATAAGATAACTGTACAAAACGAATGCAGTGGGTGTATATTCAAAAGTTAAAAAAGGAAAAACGTGCATGTCGAATGAGACCTCAGTGCCAGCCAATGTAGAGCCATGCCCATGGCTCCATCCAACACCCCAGTTCAATAGAGACTCCTCGTAACAAATGCAAAATGCCAACCCATCTTAACCTACTGATGTGAGGATGTAGATGCTCGTCTCCTGAGCCGAAGGGCCCTTAATGCGACAGCCACATCCCAAAGCATCTGTATCTGGGTAATTGTCCCCTGAGGGCTGATTCCTATATAATGGGCTTACTGATGCTCCAGTAGGTCACAGACAATGCGATAGAGCTCCTTGGCAGAATCCTCACTTGGCATCTACACATTGTTAGTTATCTTGTCCATGTAGAGATCTCGCACGTGCAGATTTGACATACCCTCAGTAAGGTAGGGACCGATCGACCTTCTTCCAGACTCGCTAGGTGAATCTGCTTGGATCTGGGTTCGTTGCCCGACGCATCGCCAACCTTCATGCCCTTGAAAATGGGCGTGTTTAGCATTACGCGTAGAACACCGTCCGCGCGCATGATCAAGCGAGTAGCCTTCTTGTCCTCTTTACCATCGGTAACCTTGACATTAACCTTGAAGGTGCCAATTCCACGCTCCTTCCATTCTCCATTTGAGAACTGGAAGAGCTTGGCCTTGCTTGAGAAGTAGGTTTTCTCTTCCTCCTCTCCTGTCTCGACTATTTCGGAAATGTGATCAGTAAAGGTTGTTAGAGGGATTTTATATAGGACGACATACTCGGACGTTCAAAGAATCTTTCATCTGTCTTCTCCTGCTCAAATTCTCCAGGCGCAGTATCGGCTTCTTGTTCCTTATCCTTTTCTTTTTCTTTTTCTTCTTCTTCTTCATCATCCTCTTCTGCTCCAAACGGCTTACCCTTGCTAGAACTTCCGAGAATACCGGCCCCCGCTGGTGCAGCGAAGCTAGTGAGACCGCCCTTCGAGCCGGCAGCCCCAAATCCACCGCTGAACCCTGAGAATCCGGAACCCAGAGATGCAAACCCGGAGGTGCCAGCGGCGCTTGCGAATCCGGTAGCAGCTGGTTTGGTAGCTTCAGTAGTAGTTGCTGACTTAAAGACAGATGTGTTAGAACCTCCTATGGCGCCGAACGGTGACTGTTCTGAGCTAGCAAAAGCGGCCAGGCTTGAAGCAGCGAATGCAGATGAGGATGTGGCAGCCGGCTTCGAGGTTTCTTCCTTGGGCTTCGAGGCACCAAGCGAGCCGAAAGGCGAAACGGCAGATGTGTTTGCAAATGCGCTCTTCAGAGGGGCCGATCCTCTTTCTTGGGAAGCGTCCCTGTGTCGCTTCTTCTCAGGCTCCCCTGCAGTCGTCTCGGAGGCGCCATTTTCTGCGGGAGCCTTACTGTCATCGACGGTGCTTTCGGCTTTCGGCTCGTCCTTATCCAGTTGGTCTCGGCTTCTCTTCTTCTTTGGGCTCAGGATCTTTCTGGCAATGTTCGTGGTTTGTGTCTGCTCTCCCTCAACCTCGGGCGCATTTGACGTAGTAATGTCTTCATCCTCATCAACCTTAGAGTCGCGTGACCTCTTCCGTCTATGGCCGTTTTCCTCGTCTAGATTCTCGGGCTGGTCCTCGTCGAATGATCGCTTCCTACCCCTGCTGCTCGAGCGGCTATTTTCGCTGTCCTGTTGTTGTTCAGTGGAGGTGCCGGCTGTTGAAGTGTTCGGGGCCGAGGTGATGGATGTCTCCTTTAGTTTGTGGCGAACAGGGCGCTCAGCGTTGTCGTTATCGGACGCTTGAGAATCATCCGCAGTGGCTGTGGGCTGTTAGACCAAACGCACTACCAGCGAGTCCCGACATCCGCAGGAGGGACAGACTCCCAAAATTTTACGTACCTTTAGTGTCCATTGGGTCCACGCGAGCATCATCTGTGCGATCACCACGTCAGTTTTCCAGCCGATACCTCTGCAGAACGGTGTAATGTACCCTTGACCCCAATATTATCTCCCGAGTCAGTTGCCATGTCCTATGTTTTTCGGTTGACTCTAACAAAAGCTGTAGTGGATGCCGACAAAGAGAGATTTGCACGATCCAACGAATGTGGGATATCTTCCCGAGCTAAAAGGTCGCTCCTCAGCTGTATGATCGACGTGGGGAGAACAATCGGATCAGGTGGTAGGTACTGTGGTGGTCGCTGTAGGGCGTCTGGTAGAAAAAGAAGTCCCAGGTGCCAAGTGCTAACGGTCTCTGGTCGAAAAGCGATCGAATGAGGCAGAGATCCAACTAGTGGGAGAGGTGCAGGTCGAGAAGCGGCCGATTCGCACCAACGAACGGGTGACGACAAACTGCTTTGTTGTCGTCGGCAGTCGTCCGGTCACCGCCCCGCAGTTAGCCTTACTAGTCAGTTTTATCTCCCGGCACGCTTTTAATCTGATAGAACAACAACAATCAATCGAGCAGAAGAAACATTCTCAATTGGATATCTTAGCATGCAATAAACTAATACACTAAGGAGAACCAAACAAAGCACAGCTTCAAGGAACATCGACGGGATAAACAGACAGAAGATAAAGTGATAGGTAGATTTCACACGCCCATATACCATTGGCTTGCAGCACTGTCTTTCTATCACCAAGGCTGGTTAATTCCCCAGCTATTACATCGCCAGCATCTCTTAGCACCTATCCTTAACTGATAAAGCAGAGGCAACCGATCGCAATGTAGAAAACAAACAGTGGGTATACTGCGATACCAACCCGATTCTTGAGCACTCCGGATCCACCAAGAATGCTGATACCCGCCGCCAAAGACCATGCGATCAAGACAAGATATACCGGTATCCGCGCAATAGTCGGCAGGCCAAGCGCACTAAGAAGGGCAGCGATGACAAGAGGGAAGAGCGTATATCCGATGATGCAGACAGACTGGAAGAAGGATCTAAGATCACAGTATTAGTAACCATTCTCGGAAGCACCGTAGAAGACATGAATGCACATACATATTCCCACCCAGCAGCTTAATCTGCAAAGTCACGACAGCTTCCCCAATCCACACGATACAGAATACACCGGAGAAGACCAGGTCTGACTGATCTCCCTTTGCGCGCATTGCCAGGAAAAAGCTCAATAGCAAGCAGAAAATGAGCGGACCCCTAGAAAGGCGGTTCTTATTAGTATTCCAGGAGGGCCAGATCGCATTAGGTCAAGACAACAGCATGCTGCCAGTATACTTACCAAAGATCCCAGTCACGCAGACCTTCACTCATTCCGCCTTGTAAGACAGTATCGGCGTCCGGCCAGCGGCCCACGAGATTCCTCAGACCACCACCACTACCAAACCCAGTGGCCTCTCCTCGTTCGGCCGCACCACCAATACCTCCTCCACCACGCTGCAGCATCCCACCCATCAGGTATTTGGGCCACAAAACCTGGCGCATCTTCTCCCAGACTGCCAGTAGATCACGCGACACCGTTTCCCATACCGTTTCATCGATGGTGTTCTGAGCGGCGCGGCGGTCTTCGCCAGGGATTGAAGAGGTCAGGTAATTGCCGGAAAGATTTCCTCCTCGGGAACTCGAAGCCTCGGGCTGAATATTGCCTCTTAAGGGAGTGGTATCGGTATCGTGTAATGGGTCATCAGCGTCGATGGCTAAAGCGCGGAAGGGTCAGTGGCAGTCAACAAGGGGCACGCCTCCATCCGAGGGGCTAGTGAGAGGCCAAACTCACCATCATCAGCTTCAATAACATCATCATCAAGAATTGAATCATCATCGTGTAGATCCCCGTGGGAATGGGTATGTGATACGCTGGCCATGGTAGATATCGTTTGTTGTAGTGAGATGGAGTTCGATCGCGAGAAGGACTTAGCACCAGAGGAGCATTGCTTGTTGATCCAGATGCTACCAGAGCTACTGGACTATAGATTGTGCCAAGCGTTGGTTCGCTAAGCACAAGAATTCGCCGAGGGATAGTGAGATGAGGAGGTAGAGGTCACGATATGAGCTGTCTCGTTCCTGGGAGAGGCTACAGTGGCATAATGCACGTCTTACGTACGCGGCACGGGCTGAAAGGGGAAGGCGGAAAGCTGCGGATCTTATCACCTTCATATCAGATTATTATCCCAACATCAACCTCCAACATGAGCTACACTAGTAGATAGTTCAGTGTGAAGACTGTATCCCAAATCTAACATAGCAGCAATGCCTTTTAACGTGGTAAGGGGCCTAACTTGGTGACAAAACTATCGCTTCTACTTGACGTAGCATACAGAGCACCTGCTCCTGGCTGCGATACTTGCGGAACCAATCCTATTCCAGGGGTTATGAATCAATGAAAACAGAATTGAGATGTCTTTTATGTAAAGAGATATCTATTATTACATGAACACTGCCGATATTTGTACATAGAAACCACCCCACTGCCAACCATGATAGTGTACACTGAAGATTATATACCAACGCCTGTAGATGCATGCAAGTATGAGGTCGTATCAACCATCAAACAAGTCATAAAACTATTCGTTGTGCAGACTGCACAAGCTCCCGCTACTCTTCATTGAACTCAGTCAACATCTAATGGATCCTCAGTAACTTGCTGGTCTTGGTATGCCAGAATCTGTTCGGAAGTTGGGGAAACCAGAGCATTCTTGTACTTCTCGGTGATCTCAGCGTTGGAATACTTCCTTAAATCCCGTGAATCTTTCTTGAGTTGGGCGCGGATCTCTTTGGAAAGTAGCTTAGAGTTTGTTGGCTTCAAGATATCATCTATCAAAACCCTCACAGTGGCTAAGACCTTGAGAGCTTCCGCTCCGGAGACGGCATGCTGATCAGAACTATTAGAGCGAATACCGCGGCCTGTGACTGGAGCTGGAGACACTAGACCATGCTTCATAGCTGTATCGAGTTTGGCAACGCAAGGGCGCAGAGCTTCAACGGCGGTTGTTTGTAAATTAAGACGCAACTGCTGACCCAGAGCACTCAGGCCACCGGCTGGTCGTTTTCCGGTCCCATCGATGCCATTCAGTGACATAAGAAGCTGGGGGCTATCACCCAAGATGCGGACTAGGTCGAGGTAGGCTCCCAATGCCTGGGGGAAAGGTAGCACAAGTGACTCCTCCATGAGATGAAGGAGCCCATTAGCATTCTTGAAAACGTTGATATTTTTGCGATCACGGAGACAACATGCAAATGCGATCCGGAAAGACCTCCCCTCCGTCATTTGGGCGGGCACCATCTGATTGCGTATGACCTCAAGGGCAACGCGACTGGAATGGCCAAGCCGTAAAAGTCGGAGGTATTGATGGTATGTGCCGCCATCCGGCTCAATCTTATAGTGTGTGTCTTCCAGGGTTAGGTGCTGCCAATAAGCTTTTCCAGCACTAATTCCTTGAGTCATACTTAAGCAAGCTTCCAGGATCAATGCGAGTTCCCTATTTCCCACAGAGACAAAAGAAGGTCCCGGGCCAACGATAGGGTCGAAAACGTTTTCGAATGTTTCTTCTTCCTCTTCTTGTTCGAGTTCCTCTGGCTCCGCCTCTGATGGTCGATACAACTTTTCACTATCATCCACGAACGGAACATCTTCCTCTAGGTCGCCTCTTCTGCTCTTCTTTTGTGGTTTCGAAGATGAATCCGATGGCTCTTTGGCGAGGATTGGGACTCCAGTGACTTGGTGAATCAAGACGAACACGTCATAACAGTCCCGATCGGTAGATCCTTCCAGGAGCAGATTGGCCATTGCGCTCACAAGGAGGTTGTCCAATTCGAGCTGCCCCTTCTTCCATCGAAAGATAATATCAGACCATATCCGCTTACCTTCCTTGATACCCTGGGCTTTCCTTGCAAGAATTTTCTCCACCTGAGAAGGCTTCATCCGATCTACGTCCGCCTGGGCTGCATCCGAGATAGCTCTCAGGATAATACTGTACGTCGTGCAGTCTGGAGAACCTGGTCCGTCTTCAGGGAGCTCGCCAGCGACTTGCCATAAGCTGTCCATATTACGATGACGTGCACAGACATTGAGCATCGCATTGGTGTGGATAAGGTTTGGCGTTACTGTTGAATTGGGTGCAAAGATAGACCTGTAAATAGAGAACGCGGTCTTGACAGGGTTGACGCCGGCGTCCTTGCTTACTCTGCATAGGCCATCCAGCATAACTGTGTACGTCACCGAATTAGGCCTTCGTCCTCGCTTCTTCATCTGCAGATTGAAACCCAATTGTCAGCCAGCAAATACACAAATCTCACATGAACAAAGATAATATCTCACCTCATTGTAGAACTTAAGCGCTGCCTTCGGATTGTTCTTCGTCATACAATACTCCATGAGATGATTCCAAGCCACCGTGCACTCCATACGTTCCCTTTGCGCCGTGCGGACCAACGCCACAGCCAACAGCACATCATCGGCCTTTAAAAGCCTTGCGACTCGGTCAGACAGCGCCCGAGGGTCCTTCAACCATTTCAACTCCATTTCGACAACTCTCCCGGAAACTCTGACTGACATGGTCCCGTCCAATTCCTCCCGAGTCTTCGGCGAAGTGCCTGCCTTCGCAATCGAGAGCAAAATGTCATCGTGTGTGGTTCCTTCTCTAGATTTCACCCACCGGTTGGGCTCCAGGAGCGTATCCTCAAACTCCTCACTCGTAACGGCAGACTCCGAATCTTCAAACTCCCCGCCCTCAGCGACGGATTCCGGTTCGTCAATTTCTTCATTCACATTCAGAGGCTCCGAGTCTCCAGAATGTGTAGCTTCAGAATTTGTAGAGTATCGTTTTGCGCCAACAGGTAACCTCCAAGCACTAATTTGTCCCGGCGCTGTGACTCTCGGAGCAGGATACGAGAGAGAAATGCCCCTAGCACCTCCCGAAACACCTCTGGGCCATTTTGAGCCGAGAGATAATCTCGTTAACGGGTTGCTCTTAACGCCCGTCCGAAGAGCAGTAGCATTAGTGCAACGAAGCATTTAAAGAGCGAGGATCGATGAATCGCCTCGTTACCCAATTGTAAAGTTGAATTCTAGCCGTTCTTCACGTATCGCTCGGCTGTCACAGTAATAAGACCGTCTTGTAAGTTTAAAATGACCTCCGCAGGCTTATTGTTCAACAAGGAAAACTTTTCGGCAGGATAACGGAGTCGTGAAGGGGAGGCGATAATGGGGTGGTTAAAGCGATATATAAGACAGCGAAAAGAAAGAGATAGTGAAAAAAACAGAGAGAATGAGAAAGTCAAAGGCACAAACCCAAACAATCTCCGAGGCAAGCAGCAGAGCAATAAAAACGGATTAGAAAGGAAGGTGAGCCTGTCTCATGAATGCGCAGCTCTCCGATAGCTCAAATTATCGCTGTATCGTATCGGCCTGGTTAACGCTAGTCAGAATGAGGTTAGATTGCTCAATGGCCTTTCTGGGAAAGTATCTCCGCTCCCGCTCTGTGAGGCCTTAGGCCGCAAATCTCACACCGGTATATGCCTCAGGCACCACACACTAAACGCTCTTTCGCCGCTAGTGGCGAAGTGAACCACTGGACATGTCACGGAACAGTGACAGGATGCCCTACTTTGTCTTAGCTTCAATAGACAGTTAAGGAAGTAGCCGCTAGTCGACCAGCATCTTGTTTGCGATGGGCAAGCCTCTCGGGGCCTAGGGAACCCCGCCAAACCATAGATAACCTAAAACCAAACCATGTGTGCCTCGTGGGCAGAGAAGGTTCCGAACTTACAGATCTACTAGCCTTAGTCTCATACCTTAGCAGCTTAACCTTACATTGTACATGCTTTGTACTACGTACTAGTAATCCTGGCTGGAATGGTCGCACCACTAAATCTTAGCCCGCCATTTCTGACGCATAATACATGTAAAATTCAATGATCAGCCCTACACCAGTTCGCATAGCCGGATGTGTCCAATTTACAGGAGTTATATTGGACTAGTGGTATTGCAGATCTTGCTTATACAACTCCACTGGTTCTTCCTAGGGTGTAGGGAATACTGTACCTATATTAGTGTATCTGTATTCACCCACGGCCATTGCTCGGCAATACGCCTTCCCTTCAGAGTGGAAGCCTTGGAACTAGTCGACGTACTCATCATTACGAACCACATCAATGGCTGAAGTATTGATTTAACGAAAAGGATTACTGTCTCTAGAAGAGCTGAACATGGCGGATCTGATGGCGCACTTTCCGTGCAAATATGTCCACAATTATTGAAATGTATCGTAGGTATTCAGAAGTTCATAAGAAATGCGAAAGAGGAGAAAGTTCCGAGTTGTGTGGAAAACTGTATCCACCAGTCCATGACCTGACGAATAGATGGACAAAGGCCATGGACCATAGAAAATAATGCACAGTTTCGGGGACCAAAACCCAGGGTAACATAAATTTGGCCGAAGCAGGGACAGTCGAAGACGAAAGCAAGGGCCATAACAAATAATTCACATACATAAGAAAGGTGAATTCAATAGAAACATGATCTGCATAATCCACAGGGAATAAAACGTGTGAAGGTAAACGGGAAGAAGACAAGACAAGAAAAGAAAAAGAAAACATCAGCTAATGCAGATTGCCCCGCCAGACATCTCAAATCACAGTCCTATAGCCGGTATTCGCAAGGGGGAAACAAAGATGGGATTTCCCGATAAAGGAGATTCTCTTCCTTTTGTCAAGCGATCTAATTCAAAAAAACATAACTGGGACAGAAGCGTAAGTCGCATGGCCACTCTTTTTGACTGGAGCAATAAAGGCCAGGAAATGGTATCATGTGCGCAAGACTTTAAAGAATTAGATCCGGGGGTGGCGATACACGATTAGGAGAATTTGTTATTAGAATATTCAAGCTGAGAGAAGAGAGGGAAGTTGGATATCTATTGCGGGTAGCTGGTCGATTGGTTTTCTGCAAAGCCATCCTCGATCAGCTACAACCCGTACAACGATAGACCAGAGGACCTCTCCTCCCGAACTTTCCTTTAGCTCTTTCTCATGATGTTTTTAGTCATGTTGAAACTTTCTTTTTTCTTTTTTTCTTTGGAATTTCTCGTGGCCCGGTCCTAACCAATAATGCAAACACAAAGGACTGACTACTTACGTTGCTGATATACTTGACCGCTCTGGCCATAAGGCGAGTGAGGGTAGTTTGGCGGATAGGCCATCTGTCCATTGCCCTGATACACCATGCCACCGCCAGGAGCTCCGTACTGACCAGGCACCTGGCCGTCAGCGGGCTGGTACCCGATCGGGGGCAGTTGAGGACGGACACTGCCAGGGTAGGCAGGAGGCTGACCGGGCTGCCCCGGATCGCCAGGGCCAGGGGCATCAACCTGGTTGGCTTGCGCAGCCTGGGCAGCAGCAGCACGCTCACGTTCCTCGGCAGCCTTGCGCTGAGCTTCTTCCTCCTTCTTGCGAGCCTTCCACTCTTTGCGAATTTCCTTGAATTCTAAAGCAGAATAGTTAGTCCCATTGTCACCGATTGTTGTGGTATGATTTCAGTAAGAACAAGATGAGGATATGGGGACAGCTGTAAGCGACGTCACTGGCAGGGAGGACGGCTTCGGTTTAGGTTAACCTCCGCACCGGCTCCTCACGCTACTGCGATCCCGTCGCGCTAAAGCGGTGTAACTCGACTAGCGCGTGGCACCCGCACTAGCCTAAATTGAAATACCCGCGACCCCTCTCAAAACACAAGGATCATGAGAAGACATTGAAACAATGCCGCCCAGAAGCGCCCCCCAGAAAAGGGAAGAGGGGAAAAACACACCTTCAGGAGTTCGCTTGGCTCCATGGGACTGCATGGTAACGTGCGCGTTCAGGTGGTTCAGTGTACCATATGCCTTTTCACAGCCATTCCATCCACACTTGTACATACGCTCAATTTCCTCATACCGACGACGGGGCCGCTTATGCTGTTGCGCGCCGGGAATCGGAACGAATGAGTAGACCTAGAAATTTCCAGATGAGCCTATGACCATTGACAGTATAACCCCGAAAATAAAGGAGAAAGTTAAAGATGAAAAAAGCGCGCCGCTAGCCATCCTTGACCCCAAAAAAGGCAGGCTGACAGCGGCCCCCACTTCTGGAGGCGTCCAAGACAATAACCAACGCGAATGCGCAGCCTTTGGAAACAGACGCCAAAATCATCAAAAACATACCTGGCCAGGGCGCGGCCCTGCGGTCGCAGCAGGGGAGGCGGGACCAACCGTTGTGGCAGGAGTGGTATAAGGTCCAGGCAGACCGTGCTGATGTTGACCATACCCATGCGACCAATCTGGACGCGCATACATTTGTGGAGGCGGCGGAGGAGGGTGACCTTGATACTGGGCCATTTCATGACCCTGCGGCTGATAAGGCGAGTAGGGAGGAGGATAGGTGGGGCTAGAGGCCGCGATTGAGGGATCTATAGGAACGTCCGCGTCAGACTTTACGTTCGTGTGATTGCGATGGTCATTTTGCAGCCCATCATGGAGGGTATGCATAGACGGACTTGTTGCTTGAGCCATACCTGCCGCACCACCGGCCTGTGTGTTCGGCGCGTGATGGTACTGGGGCGGGCGGGCGAGGTAATCAGGGTAAGCTGGAGAGCGCGCGGCTGGCGGAGGCTGATTCAGACCGTAATCTGACTGCGGCGTGTTGGAAGAGGAAATATTGGCGGCGGGGCGAACCTCGGGTTGCGGTGTGTATTGAGGATTGGGGCGCACCTCAGGCTGAGGCGTGTATTGAGCAGTAGCAGCAGCAGATGCCTGGTCTGCAGCTGGAAGTTCAGAATGGGGCGCGACAGACGGTGGATATGGAAAGTGCGAACCTGACTGCGCGTACTCCGAGGCCGGTCTGTTGTCCATATAATATACTTTGCGCCGTTACCGGATAAAGATCCCTGACAAAAGCCTCCAAGCTAAAAACTCGCGTGCCTGTCTGTAGACGCGTCGAATAACACAATGAGCTTTGTGAACGTGATAAACTTGGGGTAAGATACGCCGATATAGGCCAGGTGTGAAGCAGGGGGAGAAAGTTTGGTTCAGATCTCTGAACAAGATCCCCGTAGTGTGAAAACTTCTAGAGATCCTTCCTTGTTGTCACGTACTATTTAGTGAATCGGAATCCCGGCGTATGAGCAATGATCACTTGACCAGCTCTTCGCAAATGGTAGTTTGTTGGGTGGAAAAGAGGGGAAAAAGAACGGTTCAGGAAAAGACAACAAAAAAAAGGATGAACGCGTGAGACTAAAGTGAAAATAGTCACACTGAGAACACCACAATTCAAAAAAAGAAAAGAAAAGAAAAGAAAAAAAAAACACCAAGATTGTGTATTGGGAGTCAAAAGGGCAAAGGATGAGGGTGCAGTGACTCTTCCAGACGGAGATGTTGGATCGCGATGCTTAATCGCCTTAGTCGCCTCTTAGGGTGACGGAGAATGCCTTGCAGGGTGGCGGTCGACACGACAGCACGAGGAACCAGCGGGAAAGAAAGAGATGGTCCTGTTCTGTGCTCGGGCAAGCTTGGGGGTAGAGGGTTTAGAAAGCAGCCAGGCCAAGAGCCAAAAAGTAGCGTCGATAGCCTAGCACCAACTAGTAGAAATGGGTAATATAATAAAATAAAATAATTTAGGTCCCAGAATCCACTGCTTAAACGGGTGATAGCGCGAAGAGCGATGTCTCGATCCACGAGTGGCCACACAGTAGTACAATCACCCTAAAATCGAGACGGAGGAAAAATGGTTCGACTCGACCCGGAAAAAAGAGAGACTTGAGCAGATGAGGCGACCTAAAAGGTTTTTCGGACGGACAAGCAAAAAAGAGGCTTTTCGGCAGGAGGAAAAATCGCAGGTTAGAGCACCTCGTGGGATCCGAGAGTGCGGTGGAGCGGCGCGTGGGCCCGTAATTTTTCTTTGGTACTCTCTCTCTCTCTTTTTTTTTTTTTCTTTTTGTTTCTGCCAACAATTTTTTTTTTTTTTAAATTTTCTTTCCCCTTTCCCCTCTGGAGAAATGGGGTGAAGGTAATTGAAGGACAAGAAAACAAAAATAAAAGATAAAAAAAATAAATAAATAAAGTAACAAAATAATAAGGGAGGTAACGAATGGTAATATCGTAAGAAGGGGGGGCGGTTTTCGTATTGTTACTGAAGGGAACCCGGAAGATTAATTGTTATTTGTTCTTCTCTCTTCTCAATCAATCACCTTCTCTCTCAGTATTTCTCTCTTCCCTTTCTTTTTTGTTCCCTCTCACCCTTGGGAAAGAGTATTGCTGTCGCGCTTTTTGGTGACGGGTCCGTTGCCAGTACCTCGACCCACTTTTTCACAATGAAATATCAGGCCCCAGAGACTTTTTTTCCAATTAGTATTATGAATTATTTTTTCTTTTTGGCCCCCTTCCCCTCAGTTGTTCACCTGTATTGTGCTTTTTCGTGACCCGGTTAAGCTTTCCTTGTCTGTGGGAATTTATTTTTTTTTCTCTCTCCCTTCTCCCTCCTCTTTTCTATCTCTCCTGAAGGCTGAAGGCGGAACACTCCGCGATAGGGTGGCGAAACTAATTTTTTTTCCCCTTCCCTCTTGGACACACGCCCCCCCTTTTTTTTTCTTTCTTTGGATCCTTTGTTATGTATTTTTTTTTCTCTCCCGTTTCCTTGGGAATTCCTCCCCCGCTCTTCTAGCCGTGTGGTGGTGTGAAGGTGTAACGAAGCTTTATATCCAAAGTTGTAAATAACCACTCGATATAGTAAGGGGTGATTTTTTAGAGCTTGGATAGTCTACCCGCAATTCGGGACGGACGGTGCTTGTCGAGTTTGGTCGTAGGGAGGACCTGGTGAACCTAGCGTATGCGCCCGTGGGTACTAAACCAAGATCGCTGGCCAACGTTCGGGAAGCGTGGGTAGGGGGAGGTATCAAGGCCTTAGTGAACACAAAGGAAAGATGGGGCTAGGGATGGCGTGCCCGAGGAACGGCTTGAACAGTCTAGGATTAGGGGGCCGCGATAGCGCCAGACTAGTGAGAAAGAGGGTGTAGCGCAAGTCGGGGGAAACAACCACCTAGCGCGTGCAGGGTCCACGAAGGAAAATCCCAGAAAAAGTTTTAGGGGGAAAATTGGGAATGGTAATGGCGTTTAGATTAAATCTCGAATAGGATAACCAATAGCATTCGGGATAGATTCAAATAGGATATTGACAGGGCGGTTGATGCCGGCGATAGCTCTCTCTTTGCCTGCTGAAGGCACTTCGGCTGGAAAAGAGTTGTGGAGGGGGAAGGATGGGTAAGCAGAATAATACAAAATATAAATAAAAATAAAAATCAACAAAATGACAGCAATGACTGGTGGGAAATCAGGAGGAAAGATACTGTAATGTCACTTGCAAGTCTGTCATCACTCTTACTACCTCATCCTCCCAGGTTGTGCTACTCTTACCAATATACTTACAGGTCTCTGCCCAGAGAAGAGGGGGAACAAAAACCCCCCAAGCGAAGTGCCAATGAAAAACCACAAACTCTAGTGGGGTCAAGTCTTGTCCTTCGCAACCACTGGTCATCCTCTTATTGCCCTGGACGTGTGCATTTACCGGCGTTCCAAGGTCGCAACATTTCGCCATCTTCTGTTGCATCTGATCTCTTGATCTCTTATTGTCCTTTTTCTCCTACCAATGTAATCTTGTAATCTATCGTATGTATTGGCTGTGTAACCCGGTAAGCAACTACTGCGGGCTAGTACCTTTCACTGCGCAAGTCAGGAACGCGTCGGTGGAGAACACGAGGATAAAAAGCCCAATCGAGGTCATGGGAGAATTCACACCATCGGACATTAGGTTTCAATTTCCAACTGCGCTAAATGAATATGTATTTCATGTCAAGAGAGGTTGATTGTCACAAAGACTTGATGATCGAGGTTATCAACCTCAGGATTGTGTACAATACAACCTCTCTTTCATGAAAGCGATACATAGAGAATTGATAGGTCGATTATGACCTCAGTGTATGCAATGTTGAAGTCAGGTGAGAGGGTGTTGAACGGTAATAGCCATAACTATTACGACATGTCCGTACCGAGGACGTATGTACTTTTGCAACGTATACAGTATCATGGTACGTAATAATTACCTCCAAAGTATATCTTCTATCTCTTGCCAACAACCTCAACTTGGAAGAAGTAAGAGAAAAGAACGCATTAGGATGGAAGCGATATATTTCTTTACATATCAAGATATATGGATGCCAATTAGGCAATAGGACAATAGAAAAGAAGAAATGGAAAAAGAAATTGGACCAGAACTCGGATTGGATTTTGATATGTTACAAGATTTCGATAGGTTACCAGCAAAGAAAGAAACGATGTCGGGGGTCAATTGCCCGAGCGAGATATCGCGCTTCTCCATGATGTATGAGAAAGCTAGTAGTAGCAGCACTGCTGCTACTACTATAACGACGTTCGTAGGACGTACAACAACCGTAGATGCTACCTTACCTACTTAAGCATAGGAGCGAAATAACCTGGAACACTGGTGATCCGAAGTCACATTCAACTGAAGAACTTTTCAAAACAAGTCGATCTTCAGACAACACCCGCCGCCGAACAAAACGAAATTCATCAAGAATAATTATAAAAAAGAAAAAAAAAAAAAAGGTTTCGGGAAGTTGTCCTTGATAGGGAAGCCATGCGCAAGGTAGCAGAAGATAGGAACGCGAGAAAATGCAAGGCTCCAGTCTTGGAAAGGTTCTCCTCTGGGCAAAGCCAGATGGATGCATGTTGATTGGCGTTTTAACTGGGCCGTACCCCGCGCAAGCGGAACCCAGACAACATCCACTGCCGGTGAAGGATGAGAGGTCAACAGTCTCCTGGCTGCCTCCTGGTTGGTGTTAAAGCTTGATAACTCCTGTTGAGACCATGGCTGCGAATATCTTGATATTAAATCATCCCTATTCTTATTTTTTGATTTGATTTTATGAAAAGGAAGAAAAAATTGCAGATTTACAAAATAAAACAAGATCACAATTAATTTTATCATTTCGACGTGATAATTACTCAATCGTCCCACGGTAGAGGCATTATACTGAACAAATAGTTCCAATCATGCGATATGAGCACCACGGTGGGTCATGAAAGTCAATAAATGTGGTGGATTAATAACTGATATCAATATGGAATACAGGTCAGTATTTCCCGTTGGCAAATCCATAGATTCCATACACGCGCGGGATCACCTCAAAATACCTGGCAAGGCTTTTTTTCCACAGACGGAGTCGAGTGAGTTCTGTTTTCCGAAGCGTTATCGGAGATTATAATTTACTACACCTGGGGGCCGGCTAAAGACTCCAGTTGCCCACAAGGCACTCGGTTCTTAATTTTACTATCCTAATCAAATTACAGATTAGAGCTCCTTTGGTTCCCCAGACGTATGGGGTAATACTTATTATACTACCAGTACTATCCGACTGTCCCTCAATAAGCCGTAAGGTGTTTCGGATGCTGGCCGATAACCATAGGTTGATGGACGCCTGTCGATCTGGGTTAAAACACCCCTTTTACTCCGTACACTGGCTTCATTTTAGTGCAAGGTAATCCACATGCATCTGCTATGTCTTCGGGAAACCAATGAACAATGGCATTTCTGATATCACTCTGAAATAGTGAAAAGCAAATCAATGACAGCTGACAAAGAAAGCCCTAAGATCACGAAATCAGCAGCAGAACGTCGGCTATCTGACCTACCATGTAGAATGAGATAATGGCGTTGGGGTGGTTGCGCTTGTAATACACCTGTATTATTTACAGGCCCACATTGACAACACAGCAAAGCTCGTCCACCCCTCAGAATAATAATTTTTTTTCTTTCTTTTTTGGCCCTAGCATGGGACATGATATGCACATGAAAGGGGCTAAGTTGCAGTTCCGGGTATGATGTAGTATGTCCGTTGTTGGTTGATGGTTGACAGTTGCAGTGGATGCCCTGCCATCGAATTTTCTTATTTTCCCTTCTAAACTTTTTTATTGTCCGCAATATGGCTACTGCAACTAGTCCTAACTGCGCATATTGCAATGCTTAGGACAGATTGTCAGTGCCTTAAGTACTGTATTAGTACAACAGATAGGCTATGGTGTTATTGTGTCCGTGTCCAGGCTACT